TCCATCGGTCAAATGACAGAAATGATCATGACAGCTATTTACACTGGCACGCCCATACAACAACAATATCTTGGTGTAGGCTCGTACGATGGGATTTTGTTAGTTTAGCAAAGCAGAAATTGAAAGGGAAAGGGAGCAACAAAGTGTCATTTTTAAAAATCTTGGTGAAAAGGCTATTGTCCATTAATGGGGTTGCCGTTAATTTACGCATTATATTTGAGATGGGCTCGTCAACTTTTTAAAATATTTCCTTATTACGAATGAATTATCTACTGTCAAAAACTTATTATCTTTCAAAACATTATGCTATCTACAGTTAGCTTATTTATATGTATATGTACCTATTTAGGTAAATTATCCAAAAATCTGTTCAGCCTTTCATCATGAATCATTCTTTAAATTCTAAACCTTTTTTGAGCCTATGCTTAAGGGGCTGCTTAAAATTAATTTTCCACTTGGATCTCCCATTTGTTTTTACTACGGTAGGATTACGGTATGACCTGTATGCTACTTTACTGCCCCCAACGCACTTTTGGTATTGAGCCAAGATAAGATAGATAGACTCTAATTAGCTGAATTATGCTAGGGTCATTTGTTACGCCAAGCCCAATTTGACAAACATTTGATAACGCCAGCTTGTTTGTTTGTGTACTGAAATTTAAGCGATTGACGCAAGCTGTAAGGCCACATAGAAATTTATCTGTAAATCTAGTGGAAGGAGGTATCTATTTAAGGGAGAAATCTAAATCCAAGTTAGTTTATCAAAATTTCTATGGACTGTGAAATATTTTGAAATATAAAAGTTATTAACGTTTAAACAGTGACCACATTTCATAGGAAACTCTGTGTATGTATCTGGAGAAAATTTTTAAACTCAGATTTGACAAATAGAGTTCTCTTTTTCAGACATTCAGAAATATAAAATCTTTTAGATCAGAAAATTTTGATTTTATAGGAGCCACAACTGTGAACATAGGAATTATTGAAGGAGGACAGGCACAAAATGCTTTCGCAGAACATGCAGAAGCCAGAATTTTTGTTAGAGTAACTACATCAGTCGCTGACATCCAAAAGAAGCTGGAAGACATTGTGGCAGGGGCTGATCATCTTGCAGCTCTCATTCGCTGCTTCTCCCTTTTACTGAATTACATATTCATTCCAGGCCGTGCTGCTATCGAAGTACTTTCTTATAATGAACCTGTTATACTGGATGGTGCCCCATTACCGTATCCTACCGACCAGGTTGCCTTCAACACGGATCTAGCTTATTACTCAAAACTTTCCTCGTTAAAAGGTACATATGTCCTCTTAAATCTACTTTCGACAGTGAATAAAGTATGTATTTTAAGGAAAATACTTGTTTGGAGCAGGATCCATCAAAGTTGCTTTCTCGCAGGGAGAATTTGTGCCGAAAAAAGAGCTAAATGCATGTAAAGAGGCTCTCATTGCATTGGCCATCAAGTTGTGCTCGTAGATAAATAAAGTAATTTATGAGTGTGTTTGATTTATTACCTTCTCAAAATTTCTCTGCTAGTTCTTGAACTACATGTTCAGAAATAGTTAAAGTATAGAGTTAAAACTCACACTTCATCAATACAACCGGTTTGATTTTAAACCAGTGGGATAGTAGCAACAAATCCTGTC